CAGCCATTAGTCTCGAAGTCCACGTATATCCTCATCATGGGAGACTTCGATAACAAGATCGGGCGAGGAAGAGCCAATGAAAATTATGACGATAAGTACTGCATCGGAGATAGAAATGAGCAAGGAGATCGGCTGATAACCATGGCAGAAATGAAGCATCTGTACATTGGCAACACCTTAGTCACGAAGAAGAGCAACAGGAGCTGGGCATGGATCGCCCCAAACGCGGCGACAAAGAACGTGATTAGTTTCGTCCTGTTCGTTAAACTCGTATTATTCGGCGTAGCAATAATGCCGTCATTCAACACCGGCAATGACCACCAACTCTTGCGTGCCATTCTGACCTTCGAGAAGAATATGGAGAGGAAGACATTACAGACGGCAAATCGTCGACAACGATCAAAGGTATTAGACGAGGCGGTGCTCCAGGCGCACATTTTTAGCTTGAGCTAATGCCTGAAAGACAGTTGCGACAAAAACTACGAGAAGTTCTCAAGAAGCTAATGCGCTACGTAAAATCAGCCGAGACGGTAACATCATGCAGATCGAAAGGACGGATATCAAAAGTGTCAATGAGTTTGCTCTAGAAGCGGAGGGATGAAAGGAGATGAGACCGACATAGTGAAGAACACTTTTTTCTTTTCTGAAAGGCCATGGGGTAGGAGCTGAAGGATAACCTCGCGATCTTCTGATTGTGAGAATTAGAGAAATAGCCAAGGGTCACAGAAACTTCAATCCTTGAAGGAGAGAGTTGGCGCTTTATCAGCCGATCATAACGACGCTGAAAAACAGAGATGAAGCATTAACGTTTAACAGAACAGAAATGAAGTCTATCTGCGAGAACTTGTGCACTCAACTCTTTGCGTCATAGACACGCATCCACCGACCATCACTCCAACTACGGGAAGGAAGAACCCCAAAGAGATACGGTCTGAGAATTGAAATGATCAGACCAGGTGGTCAGGCGATATGGATGGCTCTAACAGTGAAGTTCAATTGCTAGCTGAAAACACTGAAGATGCCATCAAGTCGGAAGAAGTCAAGAACAATTGCGCTATTCAAAAAGGACGAATAGGAAGAACTAAAGAAATATTGCCCAATATGTCTGCCTCCGCGAGTCCACAGCTGTTCACTAAAATTATAACCAACATGAGTATCAACAAATGTGGAAGAACAGCAGCAGAAGGAACAGATATGTTTTTGAAAGAGTAGCAGCACAAGGATGACATGAACCAACTGATGGAGCGTGCATTGGAATTCTAACTCTGGTGGCGCATGGCCTTCGTCGACTGCGAGAAGGCGTTTCACACTGTCGGGCACAACGCAATGCGGACTGCCTAGACATAAAAGGCCATTGACACCCATTGCATCAATCTGCTGAAGAAAGCGAACTCTGGCTGCTTTACTCACTTCTCGCTGTTCGACAACCCCGTCCGGATTCCCGTAGAGAAGCATGTGAAATAACAGGATACCATTTTACAAAAACTTTTTCTGCATGTTTGGAAATGGTCTTCTGGAGCATGAACTGAAAGGGTTGGAATAGCATCAGTGGTAAACAGCACATCCACCTGCGGTTTGCTGATGACGTGATGTTTTGACGGTAAACGCTAGTCAGCTACAAGACATGGTGAAAGAACTCGAGGAAAAGAGGGCAGAAGTCGAACTGGGTCGATCTGCGAATCAGTTGGTCAATGACGAAGTCACTTCGATCGGATGTCCCACCGAAGGACCAGGTGATATCATACATCAAAAAGATCAAAAATGTCGATAAATTCATTTATCTGGGTCATGAGACAACATGCTGCATGACCAGGCGGGAAAGATTCAACGAAGAAAGACGGCCGTAGCGTCCGGGTTGGAGCGCGTTCCATTCCGTGAAG